AAGTGAATATGTGCATACTATTACAGAAAACACATTATCCTCACAAATGTGTTCCCATTCTGTAAAAGTTGTTGGGTGGTGCTGCCCTCTACTGGTGTCATTCATTGGCTTCATTTTATCGTAAAGCCATAAAGTTAGACCTACATCATAAAAAAATCTATTTATATATTTCTAATTGTGATTTAGCTAACCACAGTCACACAAATGCTATTAAAATGTGAACATGCAAAATGATTCACAGACAGTTTATGGGTGGCTAAAGAAGCCAAAATCTTGGATTGGCTAAAGAAGCCAGAAAAGGATTTTCCACAAGTTCAGTAAAGACCAGAATAGTCTTACTTTCCATCATGCACTTAAAGAGAATATTTAGCTACTATGCAGAGCAAAAAAACGTCTTTATTAATTCCTAATGGTGATTTATTTGTCCATTGCGAGTCACTATATTTTATCAAATGAGGACAATAGAGACATAGGGTACTGCTTTGTGCACAGTATCTAAAGTATCAACAGCGAACAAAGCAATATTAAAATACTGTATATACTGTAATGGGGTGTAGCCTACTACATAGACTAGTAAAATGATCTGAAGAGGTGTTTTTTCTCAGTATCAGACGGCGCTCTGCCCACGGGCTGATCACTTGATGCTGAAACACAAAATCTGGCTCTGCAACACTATAGGGAGTGTTTGACAGTTAGAATAGCATTAATGATGAGATAATTGATAATAATTGAAGAAGCCACAAATGAACAGTAAGATTAAATTCAAAGGCTGCGAATGAAATTATAGCCTATCTCTGGTGGAGAGCTTGGGCAATAGCAGTGTGAGTCACTGGTGTGTAAATCTTGATCACTGCAAAAAACTGTCTGGTTTGAAGACCATTAGTGAAAAGGCGAGATTTACACTTAAAATAATGCAAATGGATCTTCAAAAATATTATTATCATAATCAGCAGTTGTAGAGATTTCTTTTGAATGAATGCATTCAAAAACAAGCATTAATGAATGGTATATTAAATATTTGTGAGCTATTATACAGTAGTATGGGTAAGTAGATGATGTAAATGAAATATTGGTTGTAATAATATTTAAAGTGAAAACCATACTAAAAACCATAATTTTTTAAAGATTTTAACCATCCTGGGGAATGAAAGCATTTATCATTCAATATAAGGATTGTTGATATGCTCCCACTTTGTAGTTGTTGGTTAAAGCTGCTGTTCAAACTAGATATATCTTTAATCTGAGGTCAGTTGTATAAACATAGACACTATGTTAAGACTGTGTCTTTAGAACTAGTTTGACCAACTAGCAGTTAGCCAAGAGATAATCAGTCTCACTTTTCTGATTAAAATTGGGCCAATCTACATTTTTGTTATTGACTTTAAACAGTTATGACCAGTCTAGAAGAAAACAAATTAGATGGCTAACTTTTTAAGACTAGTCTAAGCAGTTTATGCAACCGGCCCCTGGAGGGGATCATAGTTACTGTGTCATAAAAATATAGTGACAGAATAAAGAAGCAATCAACACGTCAAGACCTGCAAACCCAATCCCTGCTGACACCCTGCAAAGGCAAGCGCTGTGAACAACGAGGATGACAGTGGAAATGGAGAGATTTCAGCAGGCTGTCTGATATCAGAGACAGCAGAGAACAAGCAATAGGATACATGACATTACATATATGTTTGAATATGCTTTCAAACTGAAGTGAAAAGGATCAATGCAGTTATAAGAAAACACATGAAGTTTTAATAAGAATATTGTGGAAATGTTATGTAGAAAGTCTTCAAAATCCCAGTAAGAACAAAGGATGTATAAATGCAGCATTAGTGTAATTTGCCAGGGTGTTGCAATAGAATGCTCAAGTACTTTTCTCTTATATGATCTGTAGAGAGCATAGATTTACAATTCTTATGCTTTATTCATTTAAGGTGAGTTTTATTCATTATCTATCCTTACAAAGACAATGAGGAGGTGAAGGAGGTGGAAATATATCCCACAGGTGTCAAATCAACACTTGTGAACAGTGTGTGTGCCCTCTGGATACCAAAAGATAAATTAGATTTTTGATAACAATACTTCTCATGGTGCTTTCCACTTGTTTTAATTCCCTTTCTGAAGTGCATGTCTGCAAAAAAGTACTGGTGTATTTGGTGAGAAATACTTCAATCTAAATACTATTATAATAGCAGACAGGATTTGTCTGCAGTCTTGACTCTTCAGGTTTCTTCAGGCTCTTTTCCATATAAAACAACCCTTTATGTGATGTATTTGTATAATCACACTACCTGGAAAATTTGAAGTTGTCTTAGACATGAAAGAATGAAACCAAAGCTGACGAACCACCGAACACACTGTGATATTTTTTAGATTTATTGCTCAAGATTGAAAATCAACCCATTGTGACCTTTTTTTCTTATAAGGCAAGGAAATTAGATGGAAACAGAAACACCAGTTCAACTGTCCTGATTGACTAGGGTGAGGACCTAAACATCAAGCTGCTGAACTCATATACATGGACAAATATTATACTGCAGTGCTGGAAGCAATGCATTCATCACAGCATCAAGTCCAAAGCAATCAGACAGAAAGGAAAGGAAACAAGACTGGACACTATGGCACATGTTGAAAAGCAAAAAGGTTAAAAGTATGTTGTAGTCGTTTTTACAAAATGTTAGATTAGAAATTAGAATGCGGTCACAGGTGGGTTAACCATAGCAACAAGACGCTGCTCAAGCTGTTGGATTCAGAATTGGATGGTGCATCGATAAAAATTGAGCATTGCTTGATTACAGATTTACTCATCACAGAACCCTCTTGTTAACTGTGCTAGGGAAGCCTAAATTTTGCTTACGCGAGACGAACGCAACCCATGCGCCTCAAATGTTGCAGATATAGCTAGGCATACTGACAGAAAATATATGTAACCTCTTACTGAACTTATTAAATATCTTTATCCCATGCGGTTAAAAAAAGATAGATATCCTAGGCTAATTGGAGATTCATGAGCTACATATGAGAGAATGGGAGGAGCGCATAGTGTCTGATATCTCTATATAGGCCAAGCATCTGCGGCAAACAGTAGAATTTTGTATTTTCTGGGAGCTGAAATTCAAAACACAAAGCTTAAAATATCTTGAAGTAATGGACATTTTTTAAACTATCGGTTTTAGCTTTCGTCCTTTACGCACAGGTGCATGTTGTTGGATATCTGGACCGTGGAGAACCTGCAGGTTGACTTTTTTCATTATTAACCTGTGTCAGTAACTTGCTAAATAATACATAGTTAAAAAAAAAAATTCAAGTAAACTGTCTGCATCAGATGAAACGCCGTTCATTTGTCTTTGTCAGGAGAAGCCAAGGGAAACGGATATATTAATGCGCATTGCTGATCTGGTGAAGCAATCCAAATCGCAGCAGTTTCATGGATTAATGGGCAGCAGGAGCACAGGTACAGTGTCTTCACTTCTCTCTAACTCAAGACTTTGGCTGCACTATAATTAGCCTAAAATAAATCAACAAATTTATAGCTATCATGTGAAACTTGATAACTTGCTCCAGTGTTACTTTATAGTGTTTCATACACCTTGAATTAAAAATGAGAAATCTGTTTTATTAAGGTTGTTTAAGTTGTTTGAGAGTTTTTAGTTTATTCTCTCTCTTTAGGAATCACTCAGCCAGTGCGACCTGGCCAGAGAAGTAGGTTTTTGCCATTGTGTGCATTAGGCTGCTTGCTGATTGATGGACTGGTGCATGAATTAACTTAGATTAAATAGATCCCGCATCTCACATACATTTTCAGGAAACAAGGGGGAGATCTTTGTTGGACTTATGGGAAGGAGATCTTGTAGTGGAGGTAAAGATGGGTTTTGTATATATTAAGATTATTCTTTTTTTTCTTTTTCTTGAAGTTTTGGATTCCCATGGGTCATGTAAAACTTGCAATTTAAATAAAAAAAAAAAAATCAGTAAAAATTAACAAGCTTAAAGGAAATTTATATGCATTTTCTGGTTATGTTCTGTTCTAAAATATTGCATTGGTAAAAAAAAAAAAAGGCTCATATTTATTGAAACTGGCAAGGATATCTTATTTGTGAGTGGATTTGTGTTTTGAGCCTTTTCTTTTTACTGAATTGCTTGAACTGGTTTGCAATATGAATGATTAATTAGCTAATTATTCTGAATATAGAACAAATGGAAAATTCAATAAGTGTGTGAACACTGGCTGCTTTTTCTGAACATTTTTTTCTGAAATTTATTATTTTTGTTAGACATTTCTTCTTTGTTTACAAGAAGTTTATGCCCTCTGTTGTGTTCGACACAATTAATTTAAAACACAATACATTTTCTGCTGCAAAGGTTACACAAACATATGAATGAATGCACGAAACCATCTATGTTGTTCAATGATATTATCTTTTTCTAAATCTTTAAAACCTTAAATGACAGAATAATTACACAATTTCTGTTAGATCAAATACACAGCACATTTAGGCTGTTTGAGGTGTTTCCAGTTTAAAGCTGATAACCAGTGTGCTAAATGATTGATTAGAATCACTTACTTTATAGCGTTCTCTGAATAGTTTATTATTTTTATTATCTGTTTGTAAGTTGATAATTAAACAAAATAGGCTAATGAAAAGGGGTTGGAAAAAATGAAATAATAAACAACAATAACTATAATGACAATGAACCTTTTCTTTTCAATGATTGCATTGTCACATATTTTCTCTTAAAATATATTGCTGTCTTTGTCATTTGGAAGTGTAAAAAAGAAATAGGCCACATTTCATTGAAGTGCACAAACTGTAATGGCATAACTGATGCTGAATGTCCTTTAAAATGTACAGCCATAATGTATGTTACAAATAATAAAATATCTGAGTTAAAAAGGAACAGCTTCCAAGAGAAAATCGTGCAGATGTCTTGCGATAACTTGCAGCCAAGCAAAATGTCTGAAGTCTCATTTTGGCCAGTAGGTGGCAATAGCTGTGTTTCCAGTTCTCGTAGCTGGACACCACAGATGAAGCCGAGCTGTTTTGGTTTTTGGCGTTAAGTCTGTTTGCTCGTTTGCGAGCGTCTTTTGAAATATAATACAACGCTAAATAAAACAATCTAATATAACGATAAATAAAACAATCTCTCCCTCCATTAGAAAAATATACAACTGGTAGATAATTTGAATGCTGAGCCTCCAAACACGATGGTGTATCGTTGTTGTGCATATAACTGTAAAAACACTGCGAGGATCAAGAGTCTCTCATTCCACAAGTAAGTGCAAATGTTTCACTTTATATTGTGCTAAATGTGGCTGACTGTATTAAGTTATGTTCTCGTATTTTGATTTATTTCAGATTCCCACTGAAAGACCCCAACTTGCTGAAAAAGTGGCTTAACAATTTAAGATGGAAAGATTGGAAACCTGCTCCAAACAGTAAAATCTGCTCCATCCACTTTGAAAAGAAGTGTTTGATTGAAGATGGGAAGAGAACAAGACTTCATTCATGGGCTGTGCCGACCATTTTTTCATTCCCAAATCGATATCTAGAAAGAAAGGCGAGTAAAAGTTGACGTGATGATAGGAGTGTACTTGGGTGTTTTTTAATATACATGTTTATGAACTGTTTTTAAATATCAATATTTTATGTTAAAATTTACACGTTTTAATGGATGCTCTGGTAATTCTTAGGTTTTTCACCGTTTTAAATCATAAAAGTACAAATAAAATATTAGTTTGAAGTAAAGCAAGTTTAGAATAATTTTTGTTTAATTATATTATGCCAGACCACCACAATACAGTGCTGAAACTGCTTGAAATTTTATGTCAACTACCCATTTAAATGTAATCCTTTTTTTCATCACATTTTTTAAAACTTTATTGCCTACAGGTTAAAATCAATCCTAGAAGCAGAAGAGCTTTGGTGAGTTACAGAAACTGTTTTATATGCGTTTTGCAATTCTGAAATATTTCTTTGGATTGCACACAAAAGGGTGTATTTACACAGATAATTTAAAAAATGCACTTAGAGATAAGTTACAATTTCAGAAATAATTTATAAAATTTATGTTTTAATGTGAAGTTATAGATCAGAAATATGAGACCATAAATAATAAAATATATTACAGAGTTTAAGGCTACACTGATGCTGCATCATCGAACCTCTCAAATATCTGGCGACACCTTCTGGTCAAAATAGTGTAAATGCAACAAAACCGTCCGAACATGCAAAAAGGCATCTTTTACATTACAATTGCAAAATGTTTTATTGCAAGTGTAATCTATTAAATGCAATCTAAAGCTCATCAAATATGATTAATTATGAAATGTCTGAATAATAGTTTTTTTCCCCATTAATTTGTTGGGCTTATTGTATGTGTTCTGTGGAGGGCTTGACAAATCATGCAACCTAAAGGCCCGTTCACACCAAGCACGATAACTATAAAGGTAACGGTAAAGATATAGTTCTAAAAATCGTTCTCAATATTAAAGAATAGCAGAGTCCACACCACAACTATAACGATAAAGACAAAGAGAAACGATATAGTTGGAATCACTTTCAAAACGATTTTTTTTCCCAGCTGATGAACGATAAAACACTGACAGCCAATCAGAATCCATCCTGCTGTAACGAGCTCAAAAATGTAAAGTGGCAGAGGCGCATAAAGGTAACGGTAAAGATATAGTTCTAAAAATCATTCTCAATATTAAAGAATAGCAGAGTCCACACCACAACTATAACGATAAAGACAAAGAGAAACGATATAGTTGGAATCACTTTCAAAACGATTTTTTTTCCCAGCTGATGAACGATAAAAAATTGACAGCCAGGCAGAATCCATCCTGCTATAACGAGCTCAAGAATTTAAAGCGGCAGACGCATGTGCGCTTAGAATAAACACGATATGGTTCGCTGGTGTGGACGCTAATATCGTTATCTTTATAGTTATTGTTCTTGATAAAGATAACGATTCGTTAACGTTATCTTTATAGTTATCGTGCTTGGTGTGAACGGGCCTTAAGGCAATTAACTACTACAATTCCTTTTCATTATATAAATGTGCCATTAAAATGTCCCTTTTTCTGGTCATTTGGAATTTAAGGGAATTGTTGCCGACTCAAATTCATCTGGTCAAGCAGCACCTGATGTGACAGCAGAAACCTCGCAGAAGTCTAACTCAGAAAAGCCTGAGCACAGAACTACAGAGAGTTTACAGCCGAACACTACCAAAAGTAGTTCTAGCCAGACGAGAACAGACCCAAAGAGCGTTTCCACACAGCAACTGACAGAACCGGAAAAAAGGTCTGCAACTGCTTTTCTGTGGTGGCGTTATTCTGTTTTAATTGTTATTCTTACTTAATGTATGTTTTTCCACATGCTTTTTCAGTCCACCGTGGACCATCCTGGGTGATGAAGCTCTCGACAGAAGCATGACTATACCCAGTTTCTTTCACAGTGGATATTGTTTGCCCAGTGTAATTAACATTTTCATTTTTCACATAATTGTTTTTCCCGCATTCCTACACTCTTAAAAATAAAGGCGCTTAAAAGGTTCTTCACAGCGATGCCATAGAAGAACCATTTTTGGTACTACAAAGAACCATCTCTTTCTTACCTTTTTATAATCTGAAGAACCTTCTTTCGCCGCAAAGAACTTTTTGTGAAACAGAAAGGTTCTTCAGATGTTAAAGGTTCTTTATGGAACCATTTAGACAAAAAGGTTCTTCTATGGCATCGTGAAGCACCTTTATTTTTAAGAGTGTATGCACCAAAATGTGGTTCACAAATGAACTGTTGTTTTTCCTTCAGAACATCCACTGGGCTGGAGATGAGGAATTAAATATTGTAAGTAACTTTGATGTACTGTTGAATAAAAGAGAGTCCTAAATGCAGATTTCCTAATAGAGTACTATGAAAGTGTTGTTCATCAATACATAATTCTCTTAATCAGATGCCGCATGTGGCTTATGGAGTTTTAGGACAAATGAAACCCCATATCATCGAGGTAAGGCCTCTTCTGATTTACATCAGAACTGTGATGCAACTGTTGTCACTAGGTATCTGCTAGGTTTCATCAGAATTTTTTACTTCGAGTACGTCTCTGGGGAATTACGTTATTACACAAATATGATGACAAGATATCCTATCAGGTGCTATCTACTGCACCAGACTGTTTAGGATTGAGTGCAATTTTTGGTAGAACACTTGATTTTTCTGCACTTTTCTTCTAAGTTTTAATGAACATTCTAATTCTATGAGAATACTGAAATCCACAACAAAACTATAATGGTGAAAATGAAGAGGAATTATATTGTTGGAACCACTTTCAGAATAACTAAAACATTGACATCAAAATCCATTTAAATTAGCAGATCACATAAGGCAGCATGCACTTATATTAATATTTTATCATCTCTTGCTGTGGATGCCACTATAGTTATCGTTATAGTTAGGCCTTTAAAGATAACAGAACAGAATTAGACTGTTGCACTGCCTTCCCTCAGGTTAAAGAGAGGTGGGAATGGCTTGGGCTGGATGTTAGAGGCCCGTTCTCTCCGACAGTAGACCGGCACACGCACATCATGACCCTGACTGACTACCATTCCAAATGGGTGGAAGCTTTTCCTTTGACTCAGAATCTCAGTCAGGATGTGGCCAAGTGTCTCGCTGAAGTCATCAATCAGCAGGGATACCCTCTCGGAATTCTCTCCCGGCTTCCCAGGCGGATCCTCATGGAAGTAAGAGACACATACTCCTTTCAAAACCTTTGGGGTCAGTAAGATTTAAAAAAAAAAATAATAATAATTAATGCTTTTATTTAGCAAGAACGTGTTAAAATGATCAAAAGTGACACGAAAGAAAAGATTTCTATTTCAAATAAATGCTGTTCTTTTAAACTAATCTATTCATCAAAAAATCATTTAAAAATGTATCACAGCTTTCACAAAAATCTTAGGCAACACAACGGTTTTTCATCATTGATAATAAGAAAAGTTTTTTGAGCATGTTAGAATGATGTCTTAAGGATTGTGTGACACTGAAAACTGGAGTAATGTTGATAATTCAGTTTGGTCGTCACAGGAATAAATTACATTTTTAAATGTTTTCAAATAGAAATCAGTTAGCCTATTTTAAGTTGTAATAATATTTCACAATATTACTGTTTTTACTATATATTTTTTTGCCTTGGTGAGCATAATAGACTTTTAATTCTGTACCTTAAAAAAATCATACCAACCATAAACTTTTGAACAGTAGTGTATGTAGGACTTCCCTTGGAAATCTTTTTGAAGTTCCTTTGAAAAAACAGCTGCGTTTCATATCATGGATTAATGGATGTCATTTTTCTTCTCGCTCTTTTTAGGTTAATCGTGAGTTGAAGAATCGCCTGAGGTTGAATTCAAGCGCCTTAGTCATACATCACCGGCAAACTGGTTACATGGACTTGGTCACCGAATCACTTCTAAATGAGTACGGCATCTTCAGGCATTTATTGCTCAATTTATCTCGGCTGTCAATTAATTATTTTGAATTTGATAACTTTATTCAGTATGTGATGTTACACGATTTAAAGGAGACATATTATGCCCCTTTTTACAATATGTAATATAAGTCTCTGAATAAATCAATAAATCCACTGCTCTCTCGTCTCCTCTGAGGCTGGGACTGTAAATAGTGTTCGGTGCTCGTCTGTGCAGCCAATGACAGAACAGTTAGCATGTTTTGCTCAAACTTTCGCCATGGCATTAGAGCTGGTTCACCGTTGTCGCTTGCGAAAACACAATAACGGCGCCGTGGGTGGAAACTTACAGATTAAGGGGCGGCAATATTATAATGAGATCCCTTGCCATGTCACCAAGGGAGCGAAATCAGACGTGCTCGTTTTCTCAACTTAAAACCTGGAAAAGTCTGATTTTCATGATATGTCACCTTTGATGCTAATATTTACTTCTTAACTGAGATGACATTTAACTGTTTCATGATCAGTTACATTTTTAATCATGTGAATAGGAAAATCTGTATTGCGGAAATATATTGTTTCTACATGTCCAGCATTACTTTATGTATATTTCAGGATGCTGGATGAGCTGGTGAAAAAGCACGGCAGCATCTGGCATATCCTCCTCCCTGCTGCTACTCTGCGCCTCTGCTGCACCAATCACCCCACTACCAAAGAGAAACCCTTCACCCGCATGTGTGCCAGTGACCCGCCGTTCTCATCCGCACCCAGAGAACTGCCTGTAAGTCACAGTGTCCCTCACAGTTTACATACTTTCATAAGAATGTACTAAGCTATCATTACATGATTTGAAATCAGGGTTGGGGAGTAACAGAATACATGTATATTAAAGGGTTAGTTCACCCAAAAATGAAAATTCTGTCATTAATTACTCACACTCATGTCGTTCTAAACCCGTACGACCTCCGTTCATCTTCAGATCACAAATTAAGATATTTTTGATGGAATCTGAGAGCTCTCTGACCCTCCCATAGACAGTCAGTGAACGTAAACCGTGTATACTGTTCAGCGTATACGGTTGAACCCCTGACATCACATGGATTATTTTACCGATCTCCTTGCTACGTCTCTGGACCTTGATCATTGTACTTACATTGCTGTCTATGGAGGGTCAGAAAGCTCTCGGAATGCATCAAAAATATCTTAATTTGTGTTCCGAAGTTGATCGAAGGTCTTACGGGTTTGGAACGACATGAGGGTGAGTAATTAATGACAGAATTTTCATTTTTGGGTGAACTATCCCTTTAATTACATATTTAAAATTTAAAAAAAAATCAATAACTGTATTCCATTAAAGTTACAAATTACTTTTTAAAGTGTAATCTGTAGTGAAATACATTTCAAAAGTAACTTTCCCAACCTTGTTTGTAATGTACTGTAAGTTGACACTCATGGCAGTCTGGCTTTCTTATTTTTTGTTTGCTTGGACTATAGTACAGTGCTACTGATGTTCGCTTGAGTTCTTTTGTCATCCCAACCACTGATGCCAGCAATCTAGGAGCTGTGTCAGACACTTCGGTAAGAGTCCTGAATAAAGATGAAATTAGATTGTGGTATTGTAAGTGAGCATAATTTTTTTTTACATCTTATTTTTCAGGTGCAATCTCTGAAGGATCACATTTTTTCCCAGTAAAGAAACTAAACATTTTGTCACGTTTACTTGACCTCAAAATTTCACATACACTTTGCAGTACTGCAAAATGTAATTATTTTACCAAAATGAGACGAAATAAGAGAAATAAAAAAAGAAAATAATAAAAATGACCCCATTCAAAAGTGTTGTTACCTGAATGTTACAACACTATTAAACACTATTGTGTTTTATTTTTATTTTTTTTTGTGATAGTTGTTCATGAGTCCCTTGTTTGTCCTAAACAGTTCAACTGCCCACTGTTTTTCTATAATTTTAAGATCCATCTTTTCACTCGGAGGAGAACTGAGGGATTCATACACAACTATTACTATTACAGAAGGTTCAAACGCTCACTGATGCTCCAGAAGGAAACACGATGCATTAAGAGCCGGGGGTGTAAACTTTTGAACAGAATGAAGATGTGACATTTTTCTTATTTTGCCTAAATATCATATTTTTTCATTTAGTACTGCCCTTCAGAAGCTACAGAAGATACTTAATTGTTTCCCAGAAGACAAAATAAGTTAAATTTACCCTGATCTTCAAATTAACGCGTGGCTCTTAACGCATGGTTTTTGCTTCTGGAGCATCAGTGAGCATTTTAACCTTCTGTAGTAGTTGCATATGAGTCCCTCAATTGTCCTCAGTGTGAAAAGATGGATCTCAAAATCATGCAGTAATTGTTGGAAAAGGTTCAAATATGCAAATGTTGCTGGAAAACCAAATAATTTGTGGGACCTGAAGTATTTTTCTGAAGAACAGCAGGCGGTTTAACTGTTCAGGACAAACAAGGGACTCATGAACAACTATCACTAAAAAAAACACAGCTGTGGATCATTCAGGTAACAACACAGTATTAAGAAGTAAACATTTGAATGGGGTCATTTTTATAAAGTTAACTATTATTTTCTCTTGTGGACTATATGTACACGTCTTTTATGTGAAATATCTTATTCAGATTAGTAATAAATAAAAAATAACATGCATTTGTATGATCCCTCTTATTTTGGTAAAATAATTAACATTTTGCAGATTCTGCAAAGTGTATGTAAAATTTTGACCACAATTGTAGTAGACTGTAAATAGAGAAGCAAATTTGCACTGTTGCCTTGTACAAATATTATAAAGAAATACAAATTATTTTTTAAACTGTAGAAGCAATATTTTGTTTCATCTCTTTTGTTTGTCATTTTTGTTCATATTATACAATTAGTTCCAACATGATTGGTGTCCAAAATTGCTGATATAAAGTCCAATGGCACTGAGAAGTTTAACTGTTCACATCCCTCTGTTTTTTTTATTTATAAGGGTTATCTACAATATATTAACTAGATAGCTCAAAACCTTAAAGGCATAGTTCACCTAAAAACCAGCATTTTGTCATTATGACTTTTTTCTTGTGTGGGAAATGTATATACAGTGGGTACGGAAAGTATTCAGACCCCCTTAAATTTTTCACTCTTTGTTATATTGCAGCCATTTGCTAAAATCATTTAAGTTAATTTTTTGTCCTCATTAATGTACACACAGCACCCCATATTGACAGAAAAACACAGAATTGTTGACATCTTTGCAGATTTATTAAAAAAGAAAAACTGAAAAATGCTCAGTATTTAGTAGAAGCACCCATTTGATCTAATACAGCCATGAGTCTTTTTGGGAAAGATGCAACAAGTTCTTCACACCTGGCTTTGGGGATCCTCTGCCATTCCTCCTTGCAAATCCTCTCCAGTTCTGTCAGGTTGGACGGCCTGGAATTTATACTGTAGGGATGGTCATTTAATGAAACTCAAATGTAAATATTCTAATATTTAGCTGTAAGCTCTAATCATCAAAATTAAAACAAAACAAAAAAACGTTTGAAATGTTTTACTATACATGTAATGAATCTAGAAAGTTTCACTTTCAAAAAAAGGACATTTTTCACGATATTCTATTTTTTTTTAGATGCACCTGTATACACACACACACACACACACACACGTGTGTGTGTGTGTGTGAGAGTGCTTGCGTGCACGCGCAATTTTTTTTCTTTTGCAGAATTGATTACCCATTGATTTCCATTGTATGGAGAAAAAATACTGAGACATTTCTCAAAATGTTGTTTCGCAGAAAAGTCAAACAGGTTTGAACAACATGAGGGTGATTGAATAATGACTGAAGTTTTATTTTTGGGTGAGCTATCCTTTTGAATACTTCCGAAACGGGTTGTGAATGTAACGGTCTGTACTCCAGTGAGGACCCAGCGCTGCAGGTAGCGCTATAGAGCAGTTTTGATCTGTAAGTGAAGAAAGAAGAAGAGCTGCACCATACACTCACTCATACGGAGTTTCTTGATCTGAAGTCCACTTACTCACTCCACTAACTTACCGCTGGCAAACATGTTCTCAATCCTCTTTAATGCATGCTTCCCGCTGCTTAGCAAAAGTTGAAATGTTAACACACGTTGAAAAAAACTGCGGTATTGACTTAAAATGAGAAAATTAATCATAGGAATTGGTGGGTGAGTAAACTAAACGTGTGTAAACTTAAAATTTTGTCCCATGTTCAGTCCCAGCATATATGAATTGTACATGAATTGACAGGATGACAAATGGAGGAAAGACCACGCTGAGTAAAAGCCTCCAGGAGCGTCTGCATAACAGCCTCGTTATTTCTCAAGACAACTTTTTCAAGGTACTACGCCCACTTTATATTTTTATTTAGTTGTCATTCTCTGTGTCAGTAGATCGGTTAGTCAAATTCATATTAATTTGTGTCTATTTCTCAGGATAACTCCGTGGTCCCTGCTGATGTCAGTGGCTTTAAGCAATATGACAGTAAGAACAGTCCTGTTATTTGATACTTAGATTTGCTTTTCTATGTTTAATGTCTCTCAACATGCCAGTTGTCCTGTTTTGCAAAACATGCAACTTTTTTATTTTTATTTTTTTTTACAAAACTCCTCTGCAGCTTTGGACTCCCTGCACATGGACAGGATGATGGCAGACATTGGCTCATGGCAGGAGGATCCTCAGGGCTTCATGATGTCTCGTGATCCTTCAGTGAAATCCACAGCATCTGAGCCATCCAATGTGTTTGTTCTTATAGTGGAGGGATTCCTCATTTTTAATCATGGGTAATTTTGTTCAACGGACTACCTTTTATGTAAGATGAAGAGGAAGTCATACAGGAGAAAGTTTTTGTACAGTTGTTATGATTGCAAGGCAAGATGGGACAGAACTCTTACCTATCTTGCTCCTCATCAGATGCAAAAGATCTTTTATGACAAACTTGTTGTGACATTATAGTTCACCCAGAAATGAAAATTCTGTAGTCATTGACTCACGCTCTTGTCGTTCCAAACCTGTATAACTTTTTTCAAACCTTGAAACACAGATATTAGTTTAGATTTTTTTTTTTTTAAACCTGAGAGATTTCTGTCCCTCCTTTGAAGGTCTGTAAAACCAAAACCAAAACTTTGATGCTTTAAAAGTTCATAAAGTCATTGTAAACGTAATTAATATAAATCAAGCAATGAGTCTTCTGAAGAGACACAATCACTTTACATGATGAACAGATTTAATTTCGGCTTTACTTGACATTAAAACCAATCAATGCACATACATAAACCAATTTAAATATGCCAAACGGAAGCTCAACTGTACTTGGTGCACATTTTAAACTTTAATTTCATTATATTATGTATGCTCGGATACATTGACAGTTTATTTGCATAATCGTTAGTTAAAAGAATTACAATCATATTATTCATGCAAATTTTAATAGGCCTTTAATTTATGTTTGCTCTTTTGGTTGTCACAGCAAAGAGGAGTGTTTTAGATCATCACTGAACAATCCTCTGAATCCTGTATGTTAAGATGTTGAGGTATTACAGTAATATCAGTGACCTCTGGATCACCTAAACATGCTTGACTTTGAATATGGATTGCACCATCAGGAGCACTTGACATGTTTTCATGGATCCATGTTGTACTTCCAGGCCACTAAATACATTGTTCAACAAGAGGTACTTCCTGCAGATCCCTTATGAGATATGTAAAGAGAGAAGAAGGTAGGGACGAGGCTCCTGTTAGATGAGTCTGGTTTGATGAACATCAATGTTTTGACTGAGTCTGTCACCTTTTTCCTTTCTCTAATCGATAGCTCACGAGTCTATGTGCCTCCGGATCCACCAGGCTACTTTGATGGTTATGTCTGGCCCATGTACTTGAAAAACAGAAAAGCGATGGAAGAAACTGTAAATGACATTGGTACTGTAATATTTTAACACTCAATAAGCACAGTGACTTAAATCACTTCTATTGTGGTGAATTGTGTGAGTGAGGTCTTTGCACTTTGTACAGTGTTTCTGGATGGCACACAGAAGAGCGAGATGTTGCTCTCAACTGTTCTTGCAGACATTCAGGCAATGCTTATGGTTACGCAGAGATGAGTTGTCACGTGAGTAGTTCAGCAGTAATATTGCAGCACACTTAAATGATTTTGCCATTTACACTCATTAATTTCTTTCTCTGTCTGAATTTAGTTACCAGATTTTGAGGACCAACATTTCCAGCTGCTTGTTTTCCACAAGTATACTATGAAATGAATAAATCAAGTTCATCATAGTATTCATTAATATCTATTTTATTACTTCCTCGTTAAAGTGCATTTGCCTCAAGCTATGTGACTGTCATACGGCAATCAAACCGTGTGCATTAATACTCAAAATAAGTGAATTAACAGAGCAGAGCATGTTTATGAACAGTTTCACTTGATGAAACTGCATCACAGTAAATATTAACAATGACAGACATGTTTTTTTTTTTAATGAATTTTTTGCACAAATGTATTCATCTGTTTTGGAGCAGAAAAATTCATGTGACTTAAGCAGATGAATATCAACGTATACAGTATGTCATGTAAAATATCCAGACAATATGTAGACATATTTGTGAAGTGTTCAGTGAATTAAGTACTTTCGTTTATCCCTATAATATTTGCTCTGAGCAGTATGTTAGAGACGTAATGGGATTGTTTTAAATGCGCAGAATAAGCCAAAAATCTTCATTTATTCTCTATTGACACTCATGAAAGATTAAGGTTGATAAACAAGAATTAAAAGGATAGTTCACTCAGAAATGAAAATTCTGTCTTCATGTTATCATAGATGCAAACTCCTCACCTTTAGGTGGCAACTCACTTTCTTGAGATCAAAGTAGGTCGCCAATGATATTTGCTCAGATCCAATGAAAAAGTGTTTTTAGGGGGGAGGGCTTACAAGGGTACTTGTGATCTTACAAGGGTAAATAAAGAACGGGCCGGTTGCAGACTGGTCATAACTTTTTATATTCAGTTATGAAAAGGTAGACTGGTCTTATTTGTATTGGAAAAGTAAGACTGATAACCACTTGGCAACTGCTAGTGAGTTTTGTATAGTATTTTCTTTACTCTTTAGTAAACTGTCTAAAAAGGGTAATATTTTATGTATTTGAGGTCTGAGATATGGGAACAGTTAAGAGAGAGAGAGGGCAAACATTTAGCATTTTAGGTCAGCATTGCCGTCTAATCAGCCAATATTGTCTAAAATAGCCTGCATAGCACTTCATCTTTTATAACATGGGATTTTGACCAGATATATTCAATCTTGAATTTTGTAAAATGATGCAACAAGATGTTATTTATTTATTTGTGAAATATTACAGTTTTGGACACAAGGTAATACAAAATATTTTTTAAAATACCTTAAATTAACTACAAACGAGCATGTAAAACATATATATAAAAAAAAAAATTCCATGTGGAGCATGCCCCCGGTTCTCACCTTTTTCCCCCCTTACCTGTTTGCATCTCTGTGTCATCCAAACCCATAAGACTTTCATTCATTTTTGAAACACAAATGAAAATTTTTTATGAAAACTGAGATTTCTGTCCCTCCGTTGAAAGTCCATGCAAGCAAAATTTTGATGCTTCAAAAAGTTAATAAAGACATTGCAAAAGTAATCCCATCTGAATTGATTGGTTTAATCCAAGTCTTCTGAATAGCCACAATCACTTATATATATGATAAACAGATTTAATTTAGGCTTTTATTCACATTAATCAATGTACATGTTAGGTCCATATATACGTATATATTTGGGCACTGACACAATTTTCATAATTTTGGCTCTGTATGCCACCAGAATAGAATTAAAATGAAACAATCAAGATAAAATTGAAGTGCAGACTTTAAGCTTTAATTCAAGGGGTTGAACAAAAATATAACATAAAATGCTTAAGAATTACAATCATTTTATACACAGCCCCTCATTTTCAGGGGCTCAAATGTAATTGGACAAATAAATATAATCATTAAAAAAAAAATTATTTTTAATATTTTATTGAGAATCCTTTGCAGGCAATGACTGCCTTAAGTCTGGAACTCATGGACATCACCATAGACTGGGTTTCCTCCTTGTGATGCTTTGCCAGGACTTTTCTGCAGCTGACTTCAGTTGTTGTTTGTTTGTGGGTCTTTCTGCCTTTAGTTTTGTCTTCAGCAAGTGA